GTGAATTTTGTTATTTTTAAAGCTTCGTTTTCTCGTGGCTTTGTTTAGTCCCGGGGAAGTTCATTTTACACCCATAAGCGTGAAATTCACGCCGTGCGGAGCCAGAAAGGCTCGCTGTCTTAACAGATCTGTTTATGCAGTAGTTCTACGCGCGCTCTATCTCGTCGTATCGTAATGGCGGGAGTTTCGATCTTATTCATTCTTCTCCGTGTTGTGGAAGACGAAAGGAGGCTTTAGTTATTAGCCATGGCTGCCTTGGATAGCATATCTGAGCTTAACACCCTTTTGGATAACTGGAGAAGGGAAGATCAAGAAAATTCTTCGCCAGTTAATACGCTTCAAAGGTTTGTGTTAGTTAGGCCAGACCCACGTGAGTTTAATTTTATCAATTTGTTATTCATATCAATATAAACAAACTCTCTGTTTCTGATTGGTTCTCTGTATGCCTTCTTGTTAACTAATTGGAGCGATATATACAGCTTTCCACTAAGAATGTTGGTAAACTGACCCACTGTACATGTAATTCCATAAATCAATTATTATATGATTTCAAATGGTTCTTTCTGTACTGCGATAACTAACTTTTGGACTTAAAGGGACTTTATACCTGTGCCAAATCTTGTTATCATAATTTTGGTGTTAATTTGCACATGATAATCATATATATTGGGACTTTGTTTTGAGCAATTACATGTATGCTCCTTACATTTTATTTTACTTTACCATGCGATTACAGTCGAACCTCTCCTTACATGTATATACACCTTCAAAACATGGACCACTCCATACTCATTATCAGTCCTTGTGGCACCATGGGATGCACAAGGCCTTCACAGTCTCTCTGCAGTGGGGGCAGTCCTGACCACTCTATATTATGAACAGTTTACTTGGTCGCAGGGAAACCAGAACTCATATAAATTGTCTCTGCCTGTGTAATACATGTACACACCTCCATAATGTGCGGCTCCAGAAAATATTGATACCCGCAGCAAGGACGGTCTTTGGAAATTCTGAGGGCTAAATTTTTTAAGAGAAAGTATGAAGCTAAACTGGAATTTCCACAGGGGAGGGTGGGGTGAGGGCGGAGGGTGGTGGTGGTGGAAGGGGTATAGACCAAATAGCCATCCTTGGTGGAGGTACAACTGTATAGATATGTTCTAGAATGATCCAATATAGACTCAGCTCTGGTCCAGTGGAGTCCTTGTTAAAGAGGTTTGACTGTATTTCTGATCTCTGCTACATTGAGATCCTGTTAATGGACTGTTATTAATTATAGTTTGAATTAATAAAAAAAATGCTTCCGGATGTGACTGATTTTTATCATGCCTAAAGTACTTGACAGAGGCACTATCACCTTGTGGTTAAAATGTTGCACTCTGGATTAGGCATTTGGGCTCAAGCCATGGATGGGGTCACTGCGCTGTGGTCTTGGGCATTTTTGCCAAACAGTTTCCATGGTGTAATAAATCTCTTATTAACCAAGCCGGGGTTCGTACTCTTTTAAGCTTTCAAAATTCCACGACCTTTTCCATAACGTTTCCGAGTTTTCCACGACCAAAGTTATATAGCTGTTCTCACAGTAGTATCAAAACAATCATTTATTGAACATATTTTCCAGCATTATTATCAGGGATAAAATGTATGCTTGTGTCTATTTGTACTGAAATTAAACCTATTTCTGACTCATCTGTTATTTTTTTCAATTTTTTGTCTTTTTGTCTTTTTACTCTCAGAAAGCATATTGCTTTTCCATGACTTTCCATAATGCTTATCTACTGTAAATTCCATGACTTTTCAGGCCTAAAAATTGAAATAATAAATTCCATGACTTTCCAGGTTTTCCATGACCTATACGAACCCTGCAAGCTTGCTCAGAACGATACTGCAAGAATATTGGCCCTTGATTTTTTGTATGGATATTGGTGTGCTTGGTCTTTACTGTCAAAACCTTGGGCTGATGTTCTCCCAGTACGGCTCATGTGCTTGGTGATATATCTCGTCATTATTCTATGATGTTTGGGTTACAAACCTCAGTTGTGATTTCTTCAATTAGGATAGCAGAGTTGGTTGAGCGTGAGAACGAGGCTTACCATAAACTAGACCCAGATCCTTTTGATGACCGGCATCCAGGTAAGAGTGATTTACAACAATATTACAACTGATACACATAGAATTCTGGCAAGTTCATAACTTTGATAAAAAAGCTATTGGCTGATGGAAGTATTGACCATACAAATGTTACTGAGTTGATGCATAGTTAATAGAGGGGAATGGTTATGAAGCCCAGCAAACATCA